AATGAGCTTGAGTGCAACGGTTCTGCACCCTGAAATGATCACCAGCTTCCAACGTCCCGTATTGGTTTCATCCTAAATTCTAAAGCCATTTTAACTTAAAGCAGGAATTCTGTTCTTTATTTTACCAATACATATTTGCCTGCTAGCCTTTTGCCGGTGACAGGCAGAAACTGAATCAGCAGCATGCGTTTTACAGGCAGCTTCCAGCATGAGCCTCTCCCTCTGTATCAGTGGAGTCGCTTTACAGCCTGTTTCAGTCCGGGAGCAGGATTGTGCCTGCCTTTGTTTGCGGGGCCTTTTGACTGGGCAGTTTCAGCAGTGAAGCAAGCCACTGACATGTGAAAGCTCTAGCTTTACATTAGAGTTTAAGAAAATTACAGTATATATATTTTTTTTTCCAGAAGTAATGCTACTATTCATGTAAAAGAAGTCTATAAGATGGATATCAAAAATAACATTAATGAGCTACTAAAGCCAAAATTACAGGAACTTATGAAATTGGTTAAACATAAAAACCATTAAACTGTTTATTGAAGCTTCACAGATATACTGCAGTTAATGAGCATTTCTGCTATTTAAATAAGCCCAAATTGAACACACATTACATGGATACATAATTAGTCATGGCAGTCAAACACACACAGACTTACTGTTAAAGCTTTATTTGAGGAATCTTTTCCATTTGATTTGTTTTGTTAATTAAAATATTTTTTCTGTATTCACTTATATTTTAATATTGTTTTTGCAAGTGCTGTAATTTGCTGCTGCTTTTCCATTTGTGTTTATTTACTCTATGAATATAGCAATTGTGGAATATATATTCAGTACTGTCACTTTTCTGTTGTTTTTTGTGTTAGCCTCACTTGATAGCATTAGAATAATTCAATTGTATGTTGTCTTTCATCCAGAATGATTCTTTCAAATTATATATAGTATCTCATCAGGATACGGAGGAGAACGCAGCACAGCCGCAGAGTTGTATTTTGAAATTTCAAGAAAAAAGCTGTATTAGTTTTAAACTTTGAAGTGTATGAGGGTGCAGAGATTTAAAGGATTCTCTTTCTTTTGTTAGCCCTATATTAAATCATACGCCAGCAAAAACACAGAGCATCTGGTTTGCGTATTGTTCGTTGTCAAATGGCTAACAATTCAGAGAACCAATAGTCAGGGTCACCTCCTTTCGGACCCGGATTTGGCTCTCAGAAACCTCTCGCCCTTGAAGAGAGAGAAAAGATACTCGTGATCCCGAAGGGCCTACCTTCCCCCCTTTCTGCCCAGAGGCAGTCTGGAAGGTGGTCCCTTCAGCCTCTCAGTTGCACTGGATATTAGATTCAAATTGCGAGGACGTTAGGAATCCTTATGGAACATGCTTTTAAATCATGCACTTATTTCGTCTTATCTAAACTTTGGCGGTTATAAGAAAGACTAAAGAAAATAGCCACTGGATACCATGTTGACCTTGCCACAAGGGAAATGTTCTTTCCCAATTGTAAAAATAGAGATGGGGCAAACAAAGCCCCAGTCCCTGGCAAGATGTTTCAAGTGGAGTATGTTGGGCGTTCTTTGCGCTCAAAAACCTTTTTGTAGAATTATGTCTGGACAGCTATTTTAGCACAAAGCAATCCAAAGATAGATTTGAGGAGTGTGGTAGATGCAGGATACCAGACGTAATACCTTATTTTTCCACAAGATGAAATTAAGTAGTCAGAACTTTCAATTTTACGTCATTTTGTCTGAAAAACTACATCTGCAATAGCTTGTTGCCCTCTAACACCTTTACCTTGGTTCAGTACTGTCTCAGAGAAACAAAAGTCATCTATTAAATCCCCAGTAGCAACTCCTGCTGCACTGAGTTTTCCTCAAGGGGTTTTCCCGAACATGTCTTTACAAGCCTGTATGTATTTAGCTTGTGAGAGCTGTCTAGACCACATGCTGAGATCGTACTACTGCATGCAAGAAGTTATCCCAAATATGACAAATATAAGATGTTCAAAAGCCTTCTTGAGCTACAGACAGTCTGAGATGTAAAGAGAAAGTTAATGTAATGATTTAAAAACATTACTGAAACATTTACAATAAAGCTACTATCAGTCAGTATCCGTACTTTCCTTATAAAAAAAAAACCAAACAAACTGATTTTTCTAGATTTAAAAATGTCTCAATCTGAAGGTTGTGTTTGGTATGATCTTTCAGTAATTTAAATATTTTTAAAAGAATCAATTCTTGAGCTTTTGATTCTGTTACTAGGTAGATATTGTTGCCAGTTTAAGCCAAAAGTGTGTGCAGGGTTGGGGGCTTTATGCAGGCAGTAGGTCTTGAAAATAAATTAAATACTTCTGCTGGTAAAGCCTGCTACAGTCTTTCAGCTTGCAAATAAGCAGCTAAACATGTATAATACTTGTTTTCATTATATCTTTTCTAAACATCGATATCCTAACTCATGGAGCTTTAAAATACTAACTGCTGGGCTGCAGTGCAGCTGCTGCTCTATCTGTGAATTTTAAGAGCACTAATGATGTGGAGTTCTAGGTCCAAACCATCTTCTGCTATTCTGGATTCTGAATCAGATGCAAAAAGCACTGTAGGTTTGAGTTCTCTGTTTATTTGTTAGCGGAGGGTGAGAATGGGAGCATAGGTGGGACAAGTAGGTGACAGCGTCTGCCTTTCTTCCCATTTTATAGTTTTACCTCTAATTCTATACAGCCCTCCACTTTGAAATACCCTTGTAGAATTTGATTTGGAGATGAAGGGAGATACAGAGCCTGGGAAGAAAATTCCATCATGACAATATGCAAGAAAGATGTGTTTCAAGCTTGCTGTATGCTTGAGCATGCATTTGGGCAATACTGGGAGTTTGTATTGGTGTGGGAGACATATTCTTGTCTTAGGTTAGCAGGTTTCTCTTTTACATATATGACAGCACAACTGCATCAGTTTAATTGACCCTGGCAATCTGCATCTGCTGGTGGTATGTCCCTGAGGGACACTGCAATTTTAAGTGGCATTTTATTGTAATCCTCGGTTCCTGTAGAGTTAAAGTTATATAAAAATAACTCATTTTGATATATCGCATCATGATTTGCTAAAATTATTTTAAAATGTGATTCTCGTTATGAAACTCCATTAAAGTGTCTTGTGATTATAAAGGTAATTCTAATGTTAAAGTTAAAGCAAACAATAAAGCAAAATTTTGCATCATAAAAATCATATTACTGTAGCCATAAGATTTTTTCTGAGCAATTTATTTGTCTTTAATCCCATTTATTTACTTCTATACATTTTTTTTTTATTTTTACATTTACATTCTTTCTAAGGACAATATTGGTTCATGTGCAGAGTTATCTATATATGCTGTTTTCTAACATGAAAAATGAAGATCTCTTAAGTAGTGTTTTACAAGAATTTAAAAATTTCGGTGGAATAAAGATAGAAAAGATACGGTCTTCATGTAAGCATTTTATTTTGATTGTTGACTCTTTTTATCTATTTTTAATATAAGTAACAAGTTTCAAAGTGAGCCTTATTTTCAGAATGTTCAGAGTTTAAATATTAAGTCAGAATATTTTTGACTTATTAAAATGTCTTTTTCAGAATTACTTTTTGTTACAACAAGCACACTTTGTCAAAGCCAAAATTTTGTTAGCATAACATTTCCCAGTGGGAAAATCTGAAAATTTTCAATCAGCTTTAATAATCAACTGTCAAAGAGTAGCAGAGTATCATTTCTGTTGTGAGGGTTAATAAATGCAGGAGGTAAATTCTATTGATCTAAATGAATTTCAAGAGATTACATCAGAAACTTTCCTTTTCAGTTTGCAACCTCAAAAGCATGCTATATGTTAAGGTTCACAAGAGTTTATGATAGTTTACCCAAGACAAAAGTGCTTTGATATTGTGAGTGTAGTACAAAGCTAAGGGTGAAAGGAAGTTATTTTTTCATTGTTAGTACAATGTTAGTAGTACATTGTTCAGTAATAGGATTTTCAGAAGTGTTCACCATCAATTGGACTTTTCCCTGGCAAATGAATAATATCACTGAAAATGACTTTGTGAATTCCAGCTTTTGGGATATATAGTTTGTTCTCAGGGAGTGACCAAAAGACCATTCAAGACAGTTATTTCTTGTGCCTGTGCTGAGTCAGCCACGTCTCATGACATTTGCATACATTTATTTTGTTTGCAGGTCTGGCTTTGCAGACACGTAGGAACTGGTTACTTTTCTGCTATCTCTGAAGAGCCATTCCATATAATAGGTGGTGTTCTTCTGTCTGAGTCCTGTTAGTAATTACATACCTCTGGTAGCTCAAAGCTGTCCACGTATATAAAAGAATTTTTAATTTCTCTTGTAAATTAACATTTAAGGAAGTGGAACTGCTTTTCTAATTGTTAATCAGTGTATTTTTGGTAGATTTTAGGAACAGGTTTTTTCTTTGTTCTATTAATATATTTTTTGTCTTTCACTTTAATTACAGTAAGAGAAGCCATGGCACCTGTCAAGTTTAATAAATGGGGTCTCCCTGAAGTAGATCCAGAAACTATGCAAACAAGTGAACCCTGGGTATTTGCAGGGGGTGATATTGGCGGTCTTGCTAACACTACGGTAGAATCAGTAAATGATGGAAAACAAGCTTCCTGGTACATGCACAGATACATACAGGTAATTTTATTTTCCTCTGTCCAGTTTTGATCTGCTTTTAGATACTTGTTTTCTGATTATTAAAATGATAGTTATTGGTTTCTAGATTAAGTATACATGTTTTGCATAACTAATACCTAGATTATTTGGTGGCTTGTACATTACAGATCCATTCAACTGAAAAATTAAAACTCTGTGCAGATAAACACACCCTTGATTTTGGGTAGTTCAAACCAGGTTTCTTATATTATCTTAACCATATTTAAATCCTAACAAGGTTTTCTTGCCCCCCAACTCTGAGTTCCACTCAAGGGTAGGAAGTCTTTCTGCACAATATATGGTGTCAGTAGAAATCCCAGTTGGATAATTGGAGGAAAACACCCAGCTCATCAGTGCTGAAAAGTAAAATCTCTGAACAGTGCATTAAGTAAAAATTAAATACTGCCAGTGCTGTTACCCGAGGAAGGCATTTATTAGTGTTTTTAGTGTGCGAGCATGCTAATGCTTCACAGAACACTCGCATTTGCTGTACTGCAACTGAATTTTGCTCTGATGAGGCTGATGAACTGGACACAGAAGCCAGGCAAAAAAAAAAAAAAAAAAAAAACGTTGTGTGCAAGAAAGAGAATAAGGCAGTGTTAAAGAAGTGCTTAGCTGAGAAATGGAAATTTAGGGGATATAGATATGAACAACCTGGTAACTACACTTTCCCTTTTTATGCTCCTGGCACGTGGCTGGCTGAGAACTGTTACCTCTGCTTGCCCTAACTTTTCTAGTACAAGAACAAGCGCAGAGTAAATCTAGAGGAGTCACAGAGTAACCATCAGAGACCAGAGACACAGCCTATGTGTGGAGAACCAGCTGACAAAGGGTGTGTTCATAGTGCAAAGAACTTTTTAGAAGCATGATACATGATTCATTCTCCCACAGAAAGAGATTTGAACAACTGAAGTTGGGACTGTAACAGCTCGATGTCTTTCTCCCCCATCCATCTGCTCAAAGCCTCTCCGATTGAATGTTTGTGCAATTTCATGCTGTTGAGGTCTGGTTTCACTTCCTAAAAATACTTCAACTGAAAGCTTGTTGTTAGTATCCATGCATATTTTTTCTCACTTATTCTAAAGCACTGTTTGTGTCCTGCCTTCTTACACCCTTTGAAAATGTTGAGTGTGAAACATCTTTAATCCTCGACCTGCTTGCTTAATTTCTCAGTGCACAGTGAAGTTGGTGACTCTGTGATGGGGGGGGAGAAGGGGAGGTCTCCTCCTTTTTGCCTCCTTCGTCTTTAACTTCTGGAAATACATACTTCACTTTTAAAAACCTCTTTTATCATGTTGCTTCCTTCTCAAAGCTTGCTTTTTTACCTCTGGAATGTATTGAATACTTTGGGAGAAATCTGAATAGTCACGGATTGAGAATTAAAATTTTAAATCAAGCAGACTTGGTATTAGAGTATATCCGTTACCCTTTGCAGGTTTCAAGGCAGCTTATTCGACCTTACAGTCTCACCAGGAAGCTAATGGGAAAGCCTTACAGCAATCTTCGCAGGAAAGTTTCCAAATGTCAGGTGTCACCTTTCCAGCTGTTAGATGAATGGGTAGCCAAGGGCATTTATTTGGATGTGCAGCCCTTGTAAAATCTGGTTGCTGTGGTAGAGCGTGCTGTAATTTGGCAGTTTACCTTACCAGTGTTTGGCCTTAGTACAGGTTTTCATGACCACATGAAGGTTTGATTTTTAAAGTTGTGACTTTAAGAAGAAGATCATGTTACTGTGATGTTTATAGCGGTAGTGTATGTGGATATGCATGCCTTTGTGTGTGCATGCATGTGTGTTCATTCCACAGCCTTGTATAGTGAAAGCTTCCATTATCAAATGAAAAAAACCCTTGTGAGGTACCTTATTTTCTCGCTACTGCAAGGTTCTAAGACAAGCAACCTTATTACGATCTGAGTGTTTGAATCAAATACGCATTAGATTTTAAATAAATACATTGATTCCATCCATCCATCCGTTTGCATTTTAACTATAGAAATAGATACCTATTTCTGAAATCACTGACTGTCTTAGCACTGGTATCTTTATATAATAGTCAATCTTTGGCAAAATAAAGTTAGTCCATAATATTCCTCAACCAACCCAAGACCGTATCAAAGACTCAAACTCAAAAACACCATCCCATCTACTTGCTGAATGCACTTTGTACAGTCCTCATATTTCAACCAACTCCAGGCAAAAGGCTAAGCAAACAGATGGGCCTGATATGTGCCCTGAAACTCCAATCATTTCAAGTTCTGGCACGTGGTCAAGTGAAGCATGAGATCCAAACTCAAGGACTCTCCAACAGAAATGCCTTATGTTCAAAACTGGGAATTATTTACAGAAGCTTTTTGGCTGCTTTTACATTGGAAAATTTCCATCATTATTTGCCTAAATATCTCCTGCCTCTTAACATTTTCCTCCTACTCTGCTAAGCATGGGTTCATCTCAGATATTGTTGCCTGCAGCTATGTGTCAGGTTAGATCCTGGAAACGTGACCAGTCAAAGCCTAACCAAGGACAGCTTAGTAGGACTTGTTTCAAGAAGTTCTACTAAGATTCAAAATCAGTCTTTCTAGAACAGTTGTTTGCAAGTAGATAGAGATTCAAACAGAATCAACCCAGTTTGTGCAACCATGTACTATTCAGAAAGTTTTTCAGGATTCAACCTTTTTTTGTCATTCCATGAACTGGTGATGTGAAGATTTCCATAAATTAATCTTAATTTATTTAATTTGCGGATTGTAATGGCCTGTACCTTTGTCCAACATTGACATTATGATACTAGGCAGAAGCAATACAGACTCCTGTTCTCTATTATGTCTCAGTTACCACCCATCAAGTATGAGAAGCCATTTTTTTGGATCAGTGAATGGGATTTAATCATGTGATAGTTGTATTCAGGGTAATTCACAATTGCTACAGGACTAATATATAATTTCCTATGATTGCCTTTGAGAGCAAAGGCAACTCTCACATCACAAATCTTCCATTTTTTGCTTTGTGGAAAA